CCTGGGTAAGCCGCCTCGTAGCCCAGTGATGTCTAAGAGGCCCTGCAGTTCACCTGTCAGGAGTTTTCACAGGGTAGGGTCGGACACCCCCACCTACACCAGTCATCCTGGAAACCCTGCCACTTCCTTAGATGACTTTGCTGTGATTGGGCTGAGGAGGAGTCCCCTGAGATGTAATCACCCGCAATTGAGGAGCTATGGGCTGTGTGCTTCCCCGTTGTACATGTCAAGTTTCTCAAATCCAAAATGGCATGGTCAAATGCTTCACTACACAAGCAAGAGTGCAGTGTGTACTGTTTTTTGTCTCCTTTCCATGTTCAAGTGCTGTTTTCCAGTCACTGTTTTCAGTGTGGAGAACTGAAGTGCTACCTGTGGTCTACTGAGCTCACCTGCTTTCAGTCATGTTAGCTGCAATGTCTCTCTGTTGCTATGGATTTGTTTTCAACTGTGAGCCATTGCAAAAGACTCTGTTGCTTGGGAGGTATGTGCCACATTCTCTCCACACTGCTTCCCATAATGCAGCTCTCTGGCGTCTGCCTGGTCACAATTCCCTCACAACTTTGACCGAGCTTTGAGGTCAGTTGCTCCCCACTCTACCCCTTAACTATTCAGTCCTGTAACATCTGCAGAACTTGAGAACAGATAGATTCTAAATGGCTTCCCAAGCTCTGGGGAAGGCAGCCAAGGAATTTGGGGATTTCCATCTATGCATACCTCAGGGTTCCTTTTACCCTGTCTAAGTTAATGGACCCTAATTTAGCTTTGACCAGCCTACCACACAGCTATGCTCTGCATTTCGAGTTCTCCAGGCTTAATTTTTAGTGTTCTTTCTTTCCATTTCATAAATGCATATTGTGTTGTATGTTAGACATTTTGTGCTCATTGCTTTGCAGAGTCAGACCTACTTTTATTGTCGAAGACGACTTGTATTGCTATAGGGAGAGAGGAATGTCAATTTGTTGTAGAGATCTTGTCTCTACTGAACAGCCTCCCACAGCTGACACACAAACTTGGGGGTGGAAGGAAGAGACAGCAGACAGGAACAGACAGAGGATGATCTAGTTTTACAAAAATAGATTGATCTCATCCATAAGTTCCCATGGGTAAGATGACATGCTTTGCATCACCCTGAGGTTTTTGTGTTGCCCATATTTCCATCTTATAAATGTGTTTGAGGGCCAGAGAGTTCTCTTTTAACTTATGCAGAGTTGTGTTTCACCTTCATAATCTAAGAGGAAAGTAGCCAATAAGCATAAGCATGGAACTGTTAGTTACCAGAGTTACAGCCAGCTAATTGTGGCTGGTATGTACTACAACTAGCATTTTTCTGAGAATGACTTGGGAACCCAAAAAGAACTTATAATGCTTGCAGAGATTTTTTTTCCACATTTGTTTTTAAAGTAACAGCACATACTCTTTAAAGAATTATCTAACATAAAGCCAGTTCTCCTGGGATAGATTGAGAGAAGTATAAATAAATACTTGGCCTTTAAACTTCCCTCTGCAATAGTCTATGTAATCTGCTGATCCCAGACTCTAGGATAGATTTCCAACCAGCTTCATTACAAGTAGGATTTTATAATTGTTCCTGGCTGTAAAAAATAGCATGTGTTTAAAATCTGCTTCTTTTGTATCCATTTTTACATTGTATCCATTTTACAATCATTTTTTTAAAAAAAATATGTTCTTATAGAAATTTCTTAATGAAACCACTGTTTTCATATAGTTAACACACACAGTGACACCGAAAAGAGAAAACAAACAAAAAAAAGTTTAAAAAAAATAGGGTGCCATGAAAAAAATAGCGTGATGCATCATCAGATTTTCAGAATTTTACTGAACTCCAAAGACTCCCTAAGGAAATATAACCATAGTATAATTCTTGCTCAGAATGTCCCATGTGGTAATGGGAACCTATTAATTTGAAAGCTGCCTCCTTATTCTCACAGTCTGTGGCAGCCTCTCCAAATGCTGTAAGTGTATAATGTTCTGGATTTATCTCAGCTGTGCTGAGAGGCTATGTGGGACAGAAATGCCTGCGCCATTAAGATAGAAATGAACACAGACCTAAAACACTGGTGGCTAACAAGTCATTTCTTCTGAGAATCGAAAATGAGGGAAAGTGGAGAGAATGGTAGGAAAAACAGATCATTATCTTCTTCAAATTACCTGGTGGGCTTCAGAATATCCTTCCACAATTTATCAACACTGAAGGAATTAGACATGCAACAAAGACAAAAACAACTTTTAACATGTTATTACCATTGCTTGCCATTAGGTGGCAATGGAGTGCAGACATCGTCACAAAGCTAGCATTTGGAAGCACTTTGCTTTAATAACCACAGGAACCACAGCCATCCTTACTAAGGACAAAATACAGATGCTGACTTTAACCAAGTTAGTTCATCTAGTCCATCATAATACTTCATTCAATATGGGGCTAATCAAAATTGTTCCACCACCTCTTTTTGTCATTTGCCATAGTAAACCATCCAATGTCTTTAGGTTTAGGGTTTAACTAATGTGCAAAGTAAGGTTGAATTGTCACCAGCCACTGTGGTTTTCACAAGACTAAGACGCATAATAAGAGGTAATTTCCTGACTACTTTGTGTGTAAGTTTAAGGAGAGGAATCTTTACATGGCAAAGGAAAGCTAGCAGATGAAATAACTATCGCTTTATGGGCTCCATGAGGGGGCAAGATTCGCTTTTATCTCACGCTCTGATGTTAGGATGAGGAATTTGAGCTGAAATTGAATGCCCAAGATCAATAGCAGACAGTGCCCCCAAACAGCCGAGACCTTGTAAAACATATTAACTCCAATACTGAGATTATACAAAGATCCTCAGAAACAGGCCACTACTTATCAGTTCATCTGAGGATGATTCCTGTTTTTTAAAAAAGGGTGGGCTTTGAAATGTTTTCAAAAGTCACAATTTTATCAGATATATAACTTCTTGTAATAAAAGGATTATATTCTGGCCTGAGAATGTGAATATTGTGTGGGAAACTGATGATTCAGGAGGGAAAAGGAGAGCAAGGTTTAGAGGGTATAAAGCAAGGAGAAAGACATGTTTTGAAAGATGATTAAAAGCCAGGAAATTGCTGGCTCACACCTCTAGGAATTAAGTGACCCCCCACACTTAGAGTTGCACCCCAGCTTTCCTAACTGTCAAAGAGATAATTTGTTTAAATAATTTTGGAGGCTGGAGAATCAAAGGCACTAAGTAAGATTCTGATGATAATATTAAATAATGGACTATAACCTTCAAATTGTAGTTGCTTTATGTTAACTAACAGGGTGGTTTAAAGTGGTATTCAATTTTTAACTTAATAGGGAATTAGAAAGGAACTGGAAATGTAACATATACATATGGATGTACTTGCTTCATCATATATTTAAACTTATTAATAACTTCTATAATTAAGAATCTCAAAAAATGCCTAGAGGACGGATTGTTCTTCATTATTATTATTTTTTTATTTTTATTTTTGTAGTTCTCCTAGGCTGGCCTTAAACTCACTAAGACATGCCTGCCTGCCTCTGTCACCATACCCATCTTAGTCTTCATTATCCTTAAAATTATTGTAATTTATCCTTTGAATATTTTGTATGTAATAATGTCACTTTGTAATTTTAAATACCATTAGGAATTTTATACCGATTTATAGGAATAAATCATCAATGTTGCCAGTAATGCTCTTTAGGTTTAAATTTATGTATTCTGTGTGTAGATGTTGAAAAAAAACCTCTAGGAATACTGTTAATAAATGCTACCAATTAATAGACTTAAAGCTTCAAGTTTTAGTAGTGATGATAGTTAATCTGCTCTACACAGACAATGTGGATTAGAGATGGGAGATAAATTTAGGGAGGGGCCTGATCAACAGATTCATTCTAAAGGGAACCTCAGGGCTCCCTGTCCATCCTTGGACCAGAAGTTTCTATGAACAATTTCAGGGGGAATCTTTCTAGGTTATGAAGATTGTTAATAATTATATGTATCCAAGCTCTGATTCTGACTCTGAAGACACGGCCCTAAAGACAACTAAATTCTGTTGTCATTGGAGCCCAGCTCTGAGACTTGTCAGCAGGTAGCTGTCATTTAGCAGAAAATTATTGAAGTGGGAATGGGTCGAATGCATCGATTTCCTGAGAACATAACATGTAGATGATCAATGTAAATCACACTGAGTTTCCATATTCAACCAATGTGTTCAATTTCATTCTCTGAAGTATTTGTGTGGCTATGCAGGATGCTAAGGCTCGTCATTTCCAATATTATAAGTATCTATTACAGATACTGGTCTTGATGCTTAGTTTAAAAAGAAAGGAAACTCTTTTGAGAGTTGAGTGCACTGGGGATTTCTACCAATATTTCTCTTCTAAGGTAAAGCATTATATGTTACCTGGAAATTGTCCGTTGCAGTCTTCTTAAAGTTCTCTGTCTTCCCTTTTGAAAACTGCATGTGCGTCCCTCCCCCCAACCCTTACCCCCATTGAGAGCAGAGAATTGAAATTCAAATGCAGCATGGGATGTCTGGCTACTGACCTTTTCATCTGTACCATGTGTGCCAATGTTGTCTGTGAAGGAAAAGCTTGGAGAGAATGTGGCTATTGCTAGATGTGGCTTCCTCTTGTTTGAGAGAGAGAGCTGGAGATGATGTTGAATGAAGGGGACCAGCCTTCCTGCCCCTGTGATTCAATGTCCTCCTTACCATATTCCTGACCTTGGAAAAATCAATGGGACTCAACTTTCCCTTAAAGCAACCAGATTGTGGATGTGTTCAAAAGTTTGAACCTTGGGTATTCTGATTGAAAGCACCCCTTCAAAATACTTTAATTATTAAGCGTACAGAAACCCTCTATTTGGTGGATCGTTTTCCTTCCTCTTGGTTTTTTACAGCAGGAAATATTAAATGTCAAGAAAAGTATCATGCTATTACCCAAATTGCCTTTTAACGATACACTGGTGACATTGAAAATCATTTCATTTCAGCCTCATCGCACAGTGTTCACCCATGACAACATTCAAGGTGGGGGGGAACCGTAAGTACTCCTCTTCTAAATCTAAGACTTACATCCACCCACAAAAAATGGACAACAGGTGTACCTGACAGAGCACAGTAGGACTTTGTGAGAGGGATAAAACAGTGAACATGAGGAATCCAACACAAGAAATCACACCGTTCTGCTCTGTCGATGAGATCAGACATTAATGCTCTAAGGAGAGATGGCTCCATGGTTAAGAGCACTGGCTACTCTTCCAAGGGACCTAAGTTCAATTCTCAGCATCCATGTGGAGGCTCACAGTTCCAGGAGACCCAACAGACTCTCCTAGCCTTTATGGGTTCCAGACACGTATAGGACACAAATACATACATGCAAACAAAACATAAAATGAATAAATAACAAAGGGAAACCTTCCAACATTGTAGTAACTCCTACAATTGATAAATCTGTCTCTTAGTCCACTGGCTATGTAACTGGTAACCACAACTTTAATGACAGACAACCCATGCCCTAACGTTTTTCAACCTATTTGAACACTTCAAAGGTATGCCTAATTTCTACCTTCTTAGTATATTTGCAAAATTATAACCCATGCTTCAAAATGTCTTTTGAAGATAGCAGTATTAAAGCACTCCCTACTGTTCAGATACATGACATAATTTCCACCACATGGAAAATGAGCCTTTTAAAATGTTCCTTCCAAATTCCCCTCTCCACATATATATATATATATATATATATATATATATATATATATATATATATATATGTGAAACTAACCTGCAGGCATCACACATTGCCTTTAAGAGACCCATTTTTCTTTCTCTGGCCCAGTTTACAATACTCAGAAATTACCCACTTCCTACTGGCTCTTGCCTATGCTGAGTCAAAAGAGACCTGTGGAAGCCACACCCAGAGTCCTTAGCCCTTCCCTGTGCATCAGCTGGGCCTTCTGCCCCAGCTCTGCTCTCTTGGTGAGAAACCTGCTGACCTGCTCTTTTGTGGGCAGGCCATGGTATAGAAATGGTGTTTTCAGCACCAACAGCTTCTGTTGCTATTTTACATGTGCAAACAATGATAGGATTATAATACACACACATACACACACACACATGCACTCCAGAGCTGATGAGAGTGATGGCATTGCTAGCATCTTCTAGTAAACAGCATTCGGGGCATACCAACAAGTTGTGTTCTGTTGTACTTGGTTGTGTCATAGGCAGCTGTTGTCATTGGGCTATTGTAACATCGCAGAGCCCATGGGTAGGGAAATGCACTTTCAAGCCTTGCTTTAGATCCTACTCTTTCAAATTTATGTTTCATTGCTGCCTTAATTAGAGGGATTATGGAAGGTTATCTCATCATATACATTTAGAAAAATATTTTGTGAACCAAAAGTAGAAACCTAAGCCATGCTGCTATAGTTCAGTTTAGGGACAATCTAAGGTGCAGGCTATAGATTTGAGTGTGACTCAGCATTTCTTAAATGACAAATTTATTTTTGAGGCAGTCTTGACCCCACTACCACCATCATTTCACCAACATATGTCAAAGCAGCATTTATTTTTTTATTTATTTTATTTATTTAATTGGGCCACAGTTCCTGTCATACAACACTGATTTTGAGAACCAGCAGAGGTAGAAGTATTTCCAGGATGTTTTGTTTATATTTCCATAAAATCTTTTGTGTGTGTGATCTAATTAAACCACTATGGCAAATAAATTCTGACAGGTGTACTTGGCTTTCATTATATAAAAACGAGCTGGGAGTCTATGCCAGTCCTAGTTTGTTAGCTCTGAGGACCCTCAGAGTCTTCAAGCATCTGGAGTTTGTGGCCTGTAAGTGGTTGGAGTTATGCCCTAGTAAGGCTAGAGACTGAGAAGCTCAGAGCAACTGCACAGTATATCCATCAGCATAGCAACCAGGGATGACCGTGTCTCTCAAGCTCGAGAAGGGACAAGTAGCCTTGTGGAAATCCCATTTCTATTGCCAACAGCCTCAGTTGCGAACCAACACACAAATAACAAAATGGTTTTCTTCTTCTCCTAAGGCTGGCTCCTAGTGAGGTGGCCTCTGCCAGTCTTACTTGCCACCTCTTCTAGGGTCTGGGTCTGTTTCTATCCATGACCAGAAGCTGAAACCTCTCCCAACCTCAGAAGACTGCAGTGGGTGCAAAGAATATAAATGGCTAAAATTGCCCACTAGAAGGGACTATTACTAACTAGAAAAGAAATCTCTAATGTGGGGATTTCAGGGTTGGGTGCCAAGCTTGGGAAGATGATGGTTTTAACAGAAAGGCAAAGCTCTTTCCTACAACTCCCTGAAGCCAACTTTATCTGTATCCTATGATCAGGAGACATTCAAGAACAGAGAGGGAGCCAGTGAAATTGTGGCACATTTATAGCACACTGTTTGAATTCAAGTACCAGAATGTTCTACCAAAATGTGTTTTTCTGTCTTGATAAAGTAATTAGAAATAAAACCTTCTTGTTCCAAAGTAGAATTCAGTATTACCCACTTTTTAATGGTGGTCTAAAATAAATCCAAAGAGCCCCCAGAATGTTGTTAATGTTTTCTTACATTAGTACAATTATATGACAGTTATAAAAAGCAATGGAAAAATTTTTCCAACCTTTTAATCCTATGATTATACCAGTGACAGATAAGTGCTATCATGAAAAATTACCATCAACTGCATATCAAATTCTTCTTGGGCTTCTTAGCCTCTAAAATGTCAGTCTTTACTTTCCCAAGTGCTGATCTATGTTAGTAACCACAGATTTTAATAGTAATAAAAGTCAATGTCAAATAGTTAATATTCAAACACACTACAGATCAATGTCACCATCTCTCTATCAAAGAGTTCAGACAAGAAAAAATGGTTACATTCTTTCAGTAATTCTTTCGCCCAGTGATTATTTCAAAGGAGACTTTTAACTCAAGTACAGTTTTTTACCAGACACTTTTTTTAAATGTGTATGATCCTCTAGTTAGGTCAGGTCAAGGATGGCCATGGTTCAAGGTCATAGGTGAATTGCATGAAGTCTTCACATTTCAAATCCTGATTCCTATTGTAAAGCTCATCTTTAAAAGGTTTCCTTTTGTAATAATTCCTGTATCATTTATAAAATGTATATTGTGAAATATTTTGTACAACTCAATTTAGAACCATTTGGAATTCCACTTGCAAGCCTCCATTATTTATGGTTATAGCTACCTAACTCTGTAATCCCTCTTAATGGGCTGCACAATACAAATACCATTTATTTTATACTGTTTTGTAGCACCTAAATGACAAACGTTATATATCTAGACAATATTAATGCAGGTCTAGCCTACAAAAATCAAAATGCTATTGCCTAACTCATAAATATTGTAATCTTCCATGAATATTTTTCACTGTAGGTTTTGAAATGTTATTAGAGTGATTCCCGTTAGAATCTGAATGTTTCCGTTGACTTTAAGTGTTTAGCAAAGACTTAACATTCCTAACACAGCATATTAATAATAGAAATGTTTGACTGAAATGAGTGTTATACTAACTTCTATAACTTCATGAAGATATGAAGTAAATTAAATATACCCATTTGTCCTGTTTAAGGTTTCAGGCTCTGTATAACTATACTCCTAGGAATGAAGATGAGCTGGAACTCAGAGAAAGTGACGTCGTTGATGTGATGGAGAAGTGTGATGATGGATGGTTCGTGGGTATGTGCTCATTTATTCAGTTTGTTTAAATTTGCTCACTTGCATGGCTCACAAAGAGTCCAGCTCTCTTTGAATTCATGCTGTACTATCTATCCCAAAGCCATTGCATTTTAATAAAGTGTAACATGTATTGATATGAGTATATGTGATTTTTCTGCTAATTTTATTTCAACCCAATCAGGAAAATGTCTTTAAATAGCACCAACTAGCAATGGCTGTGATGTCACAGTAACAATTACAAAAACACACCAAATGTTCCCAGGTGTGAAATGCCTTTACTCTGTTTGATGGGGAATATTAGCCAACAAATGTCATTTGATGGGGAGCAAGATGGAAGGGAAGCTAGCCCATTTGCTAGGACCCATGTAGACAACCATAAAAGTCTAGGGATCCTCCTCAGATTCAGTTAGCTGAAGGGAGAACTACCTTCGTTGCCACTTCAAAGGCAAACCCAGATCTACCATCTTAAAGTATATTTAACACCCTCTCTGCTCAGCTGTCCAGTCCCCAACACAGAAAGAGAGGGGGGAGGAAGAGATGAGCAAGAAGATAAGACAGAGGAGACAACATGAGGTCCTCCGAGGAAATGTTGGTAGACAAAAGGATTCAGGCAGACACCAAGGAAAGAGGTGACAAGGAGAGGTGTGGGGAGGACTGGGGAAGGTGGAAAGAGTTAAGATGACCTGGGTTCCACTAACTGTCTATAACTACAGTTACAGAGGCATCTGACAACCTTTCTGACCATCATAACCACCATGTGGAGCATAAGCATGCATTCAGACAAAACACCCATACACATAGAATTTAAAAAAAAAAAAAATGTGGGAATGCAATCTTCCTCTACACTTGGCCAGGAGTAGATATTGAAGGAACTGAAGCCAGATAGGCAGACACATTCCTTAGACTCTATTATTTCTATTAATCCCCATATAAAGGTGAGAAGAGGTTTACACATATGGCTTTCGGGGGTTATAAACAAACCAATAAATTATAGAATGTTAATGCAAAGTGAAATTTCAGAGGCCCTACACTAAAACACAAAATAACATTTTAGATGGACTTTGGAGAAAGCATCTAGAGAATTGTGGCTATGAAACCAAAGGGGACCATGAGAAAAGCCATGCGTGTACTTGGTGTAACTGCCCATGTTAGAAACCATTCTCAATAACTCCATTCCACCCACCACACAAGTAGTAGCTGGTCTTCTGCTTTTTAAAAATATAAAATTGTTTAGATTGTTCAGAATTCTGTATTTTGTTAAGAAGCATAACAGTGCTTTTTTAGTGAGTGAGGTAGCACTGAGCATGAGATTATATTTGTGACATTGGCAGTGTACCATGGAGTGGCCATGTGGCGCTGCAGAGGAGGCTTCCTGCTCCTGAACCAACCCTTACTCTTATGTGTATCCCTTACTCATCAGTTATCATGTCCCACTGCAAGCCTCAACAGGTATCTCCTATTCCTTGTTTGGCATCATGGTGATCTGAGTCCTACCACCCAGCTCTCTGCACAATTGTCTTTCATTCTAGACTGGGAGGCTGGACTTCCCCATTTAGCTCCATGTGGTGAATATCTATCTCTTATGCAAATGAAATGATGACAACATCAGGCAGGGCACTTAAATTGCCTGCTTTCTCTTTCTATTGTCATCAATGAGTTTTCTATATTCCTTCCCGAACTATTTAGGGCTTGCTCCCTCGGTGAACCCTTGCAGACAGAAAGTCTTCAGGCAGACATAGTACCTGACATTTCATTGCTCTTACACACCTTTTCATTTATTGCTTCTGTTTTCAGGAACCTCAAGAAGAACCAAATTCTTTGGTACCTTTCCCGGAAACTATGTCAAGAGGCTGTGAATCACCTTCCTCCTTATTTACTCCACATTTCAACAACACATATGCAGAACTCATCTGAAACATCCCAGCAGGCCTGTCGCTGTCATGCCTTACGGTTTCCAATAGGCCATTGCCATCTCCACCTGCTGCCACCAGATCACCAGCAGCGACTACCGCTGGGAGCTTCAGGGAAATGTGGCAAACTTATACTCGCATAAATGCAGTTTCCTTCTTTGAAATGTTGTGGCATAGAATCAGAATGAAAGTTGTCATAATTTTAAAAAGTGGAATAGTTAAAGCAGAAGGAAAGAAAGAAAGATAGGAAGGGAGGGAGGAAGGAAGGAAGGAAGGAAGGAAGGAAAGAAGGAAGGAAGGAAAGAAGGAAGGAAGGAAGGGAGAAAAAGAAAGACTCTCCAGGAAGCTTTCTGGTCTCAAGGCTGTATTCCCACCTCTCTGGAAGGTGTTCTGTCCTCAGGAAGCCAGAAGACTGTTTTCTGAAATGCTATGATTTGCATTTTCACCCTCAGCTTGGCAGTATATTTCCCTTTCACGAGTTTGCCTAGTGCCCTGGTTTACACTATATGACAACTATACTTCAGCTGTTATTTGCCTGCACTTCTCATATATTGTTTTATGCACAGTGATCATAAAATCTAGAGTGAATAGAAAAGTTAATTGGGATGGGTGTGATTTTTGTTAATTGCATTAAGTTTTCACATAGGAGGTTTTTCCTGTTCATTTTTTGTGTGTACTTATTAAAAGTGCAAACAGTGAGTGATTAAGATCCCTTGGTCACTACCATGACTATCATGAAGTTTTAGCCACACTGCAGGACAAATCGTGTTGTAAATTTGCATTGCTGTTTTATATTAAAATATAATCATCAGCATCATGGACAAAGAGCTCTTAGTGTTTATTTATCTGTTAAAACTTAAAAGCAGTGTTAGTAAGAGGGGCAAAGAAATGAAAGTAATACCCATAGGTAAGTTTCACTGTGTGTACACTTACACATTCGATTGTATAAGGACATATAAATCACATGCTGTGTTGTACATTTTATGGAAATGTAAAAGATTACCATATTATTTTATAGAGTACTTCAGGAGCATCCTGAGTGTTAAGGCTGGCATTAGCAAGGATTATGATCAATACAATTATTTTTACTACAACAATTATTTTTCTTCTATGGAACCCAGAATCCTGACTCCGTTTGTAGACAGGAATATATATGTTGAGCCTGATTTTTCTGGTGTATGTAACATACTTCCTAGAAATAATAAATTAGGCACTTTTAGATATAATGGTTAAATCATTCAGGTTGTATTTTCTGCCCCCAAACAACTGTACAAAATGATAACAAACCTGAAAGATTTAATGTATTCACAGTGCCTGCGTTCCACATATCCTGAGACTTAGCTTTGTATTTCGAATGAATTTGCTTAAGACCTGTTTGTCTTTGAATCTTTAGCACCTTATAGACAAAACTTTTTATGGCTTTCCTCCAGTGGGCAATGCTTGATCTCCCACAACATAGACTCTAGCATTTTGTACATATGCTTTTTTTTTTTTTTTTTTTTTTTTTTTTGTACAGACTATTAACTTGTTTAGGAAATGGGAATTTCCCAATTTGATCTTTATCCTGCACTTAAGCTGAGTTTTAATTCTTTCAGCAGATCGCCCTTTAGGGTATCTTGACAGCTCACAGGCTAGTATGAACCTGGAAGATAGTATCTACACAAAATTCTATGAATTGAAAAGATCTTTGTAACCAATCTAAAATGCACATAAATCTGGCTACAGAGGAACATCATTAAGGGGGAAGAATAAAAATACTTTTGAGAAACCCACTTTACTGTCCAGTTCACAGCCAGCTTTCTATTAGAAAAATTTGGGATTGGAAGTCAGCCAGCCACATGCAGCTTTGCTGATGAATGAACACTACTTTTTCATATCATTTGTGAAAACAAATCTTCAACTCTGTTGCCCGTTATATTGAAGAAATTTTGCTGTTTCTACTCTCTGTATCTGATTTTAAAAGGAAAAAAATATTCATACCTGGCTTTCAGGTCATTGACTTTGAATTCTTACTAGCAAAGGTCACTGTGTTTTTCTTGAGTAGATACTTAATAAATTTTGCTTGAAAGTACTTCTACTTTTTTTTGGCATTTATACAAACTCTGTGTTTTAGTTCAAGGTATTAGTTAAAAATAAGTTGAAACATTTGGTCTATGTTCTCTTGACATACAAATGGAGAAATGGAGAAGAGTTTTAAAAAACAAAAAACTACCACCATAGACCACTTGCTAACTCCTCTTAAATACTGCTTGCTCCTCAGCCAAAGTGACATCTCAAAATATCCCTGCCTCAAACCTGGCTATTTACAAGAAAAAGCTAATTGCAAACATTGTGCCTCAAACCTGGCTATTTACAAGAAAAAGCTAATTGCAAACATTATAAGTTGTGAGCATCCATCTTGGAACTTTTAAGGACTTCTCCTAAAGAACTTTACCATCATTGGTCTCTGAGTGAATTTCAAAACTGCTGCTGCAGAGGGATCATGTCTTTCTGTCACAGTGATAACAAAGATTTACACTAGTACTTGGGTTCTTTCTAATATTACCTTAGTACCTTCTTCATCCATCTATCTTAACCCACATCCATATCTGTCAAATATTCAGAAACCTGGTTTCTCATAGTCCTCAGTTCTTAAACAAGACTTATTGACTCAACAGCCACTCGGGTCTCCTTTATTCCACTGGGTAATTTCTGACTATCTCTAGCTCTCCACTGAGTTGTGCTCCCTTGTGGGAAGACTAAACTCCCAGGACTTTTGCAGTCCTATTTTCTCCTGAGCACTGGTCAGTCACTTAAGTCTATACATCTGAATCTGTCCATCCAGGTCATTGGACTAACAGGAAGGGATGCTGATATCTATGGACCAAATGTGCATCATCCCTGGAAGCAGGTGGTCCTTTTCTTACTTGCTCAAAAGCTGGAAGAATCTGTTTACATGGCCACATGCTTTCATATCTACTTACTGTCTGACCTCTCTTTGTAGGTGGTCAGTTTGTGTGGCCTGATAATTTCTTCCCACTCTTTTCCAGATTTAGGCCACAAAGGAGGATATTATTTAGAGAATCATCTGGTTTCAAAAAATTAACTACTCTAGCAACATCTCAAGAGTCCATTCACTTGAAGGATTTTTCAGCTTCCTCTCCAAATGGTAATTCTTTAAGGATTGTTTATATACCAATTATGTTTTCAAATAATTTACTTCTCACTAATAATGAGGGCCAGAGCCTGGGTAGAGATTGGCCTTAGAAATAGAATGTCCCACAGAAGGGATTTGCTTATGGAACAAATTCAGTCTACTATCTGGTATTAGATATCCTACCAGCTAAGAATGGTTTATACAGAGAACAGCTGCCATCAATTTGATGATATGATCCCTAACTTTAATTAAATGAAATGTCATTCCCCCCAAATCCCTTTATTTCCTTTTTATGTTGTATTAGAAGAAAATTATCCATCATTTGTATGCTCACATTCTTACCTTCATCAGTGAAAAATGGCAGAAATGGGTTTTCTCTTTGTAAATGTGTATGTGAAACTCTGTTTTCCCTCTAGTTCCACTAACTCAAGTGCTGTCTGTCCCTTTACAGAAATTAGCTTGTGAAATTGTGTGACCGATGCTAATCGTTAGCCACAGATCTGAAAAGTGACCAGAGAGAAACAAAAGTTAAGTGGGTGCTACACACCAAGGCATTCCTACCATGGTCTATGCCCTTATCCTCACAGTGAAACTAGGAGGAAGTCTGTGTTGTGCCCCCTCTACAGATGAGGAAGTGAGAGCTTCAAGAGGCTCCATGGCTTCTTTGTTATGGTGAAGTGTGCTGGCCTGTGGGAGAACTTGTATTCAGGGGCCTGGTGTATCTCTCTCCCAAGCCTGTATGCTGCCTTCTGTATTATCCAAACTTGGTGATAAGCACATCACTGATTAAACGATGCAGTCAGAATTAACTATCTCCACTCATCCACTCTTCTCCCTTCACAATCCAGACACTCGGCTATGGCAGCCTCCTCCTAACAGCATCTTACTATGCCCATGTGATTAGAAAGAGAAGGCACCAAACAGACACTAGAGTATTCCCCCAAGGGAAGCTCACTCAGGCTTCTAAAATACACAGTAACTGTGTCTGGGAGTTATGGCTCACCAAGGCTCTGGAGTCCATGTTCTGTGAGCCAGCTCGGCAGCCAATGGAGTTTCAGGGAAGTGTTTGGTATTCAAGCCATTTGGTGGACAGGCAAGCCCAACATGCTCTAGGAACACAGAGTACTCACTGGACAGCTTTGAAATATACACAATCCCAGGATACACTAGCCATTCTCTGCTCGGTGACTCTCTATGAAGCTCAGGGCCTTAGCTCACTGCTAAATTCAGCCCTGCAGGAGCTCAGGAAAGTTCCATCTGAGCTCACACACATGCATATATCTTGACCCATAAAACTTGGAGCACAAGACAGAAATCAGCCTAGCAAATCTTCACCTGTTCCTTTGGGGTTTCTTGTTTCAACCTTCCCCCTAAAATATGATGAGTGACTCAGTCATCCTTGTGTCTTCTAAAAATAAATGCCATTTCAGTCAAAGTCTTGTTACTATTAATACCCTTAGACGGATGCCAAGTGTTGCATTATATTTTAAGAGCTCAAGGTTGACTCCTTAAAGCATTTTTAATTTTTTAGGTTTAACAATCATTAGACATTTTCGTACAAAAAAAAAAATCCAGAAAATAGAAATGTACAAGAGGAGGAAACATTCCAAATCCCATTTGAGTGAGTGTTGTGCTCTGAAATTTATCTATCCAGAGGTTTGTGTGTGTGTGTGTGTGTGTGTGTGAGAGAGAGAGAGAGAGAGAGAGAGAGAGAGAGAGAGAGAGGAGTGGGGGTGGGGAGAGAGCAAGGGGGAGAGAGAGCATGCACATCCAGTGTGATCATATGTATGTGCAGACAAACTGGGGTCAAACTGAACACACTTTTACATTCTGCAACTATCTCTGTGTGAGACTCTAGAGTCGATTCATTAAGTGAATTTGACATTAACAAAGCCTTTAAAGAAGGAAAAGTCAACTTTGATGCCCAGGATTTATGAAACTACAATCAACTCAAATTCCCAAGGCCAAGAATTGCTTGGGTCTAAGTAGATGTAAAACCTGATGGAATTTAAAGGCTTTAACAAGGAAGGGAAGGAAAGGTGAGGAAAAAGAAAATACTATTTATCATCACCTAATCACATTAGGCATCTTTCCAGCTAAGTGGTGTCTAAAGGAAAATATTAAGCTGGTAAGTGTAGAAACTGCAAAGCAAAACCCTCCTGGAAGGTACAAAGGGCATAAGGTCTGAATCAATACTGCCAAAATAGATAACAACTTATTTTGGAAAAATAACATATCATAGAAATAAAATATTTTTATGTGTTCCCATGGAGTATTCTGTTCCTCCATTGGCATAATTGGAAAAGTAGGGAGACATTTGTGGTGATCAGAATGGTAATGTTTTTGTCCTCCAGTGTCATCACTAATGTGTCATCTAAGTGTCATCTAGTGTGTCATCTGACCAAGAATGTTGACAACTTCCCACAAGGCCAAGGATGCTGATAATGTCCCACAATGCACAAAGGCTTCCACAGCAAATCATCATCAAGCTAATTATCTCTATTGTTGATCATCATGAATTCTGCCCTAGGGTAACTCTGATGTTTAAGGAAGATTTGTATTATAAATAATACTGGGCAAGGTTATTTTAATTCTGAATTAGCAAATCAACAGCTGTAACCATAATGGTTACTATCTTCTGCCCAATGACTGACAGACCCAGATCCTCTGGCAGAAAACAG